GCAACGCTCACGATCATTATATATGATAACGTACAACATGCACATGCCAGTTTATCCATTTCTACTCCAGTTTCTCTTGCGTACGTCAAATCAGTATCTCCTCTCTCTGATGGGCGTAGCGTCTAGTCTACCCTCGCTGCACTCGACTGACCCCGCGGGTGAGTAGAACTGTTTGTGACGGACATCAAGGCTTGAGAACAATACAATGATTGCATATAAATTCACTGCATGTGAATTGTAGTGATGTATGCAAAACAAGGCATCACATGGTACAGTAGGTTCGTGTAATGATATAAAAGCGTTGCGTGTGTGATTCGTACATTCCGTGCCGCAACGCAGGGAAGTTTTTCGATTAATGGAAAACTATTACAAGACGATACAAAAACTATCCTCAATAACCCAATGCGAATGCGCACGAGCGAAATGCTCCAAAATGCGTAACTGAAGACGAGCTTCATCTCAAACAAGTAGTCAGCCAGTTTAACTATTGGCTTTCTTGCCAATGCCCTTCGTGTACGTTCCCATCGCTCGCCGCCTGCAACACCGCCGGCAGCAGAAGCACAGGCCGACAAGCGCCGTCACCATAGCAACGGCCACCACTGCGACCACGTCCAACAGCCAGAACTGCGCCCAGCTGAGGTGGCCGTCCATCAGGTGAAACGGTTCGAGGCTGCCGAAGCCAGCTGCCAGCTGAAGCCAGTAGGCAGCCCGCTCGGTGGCCGCCGAGGGATCCCTGCTCCACATGGCAGCGGCTCGCCTGGTCTTGAGGCGGAAGGACGGCGTGTACAGCAGCCTCTGCAGCGACGTCTCCAGCAGGCTGGTGCTGATGTTGAAGCGATCGACGGCGATTGCGAGGCCGCGGTGCTGCAGGAAGAGGGCGTTCTCGTGCTGGTCGACGAAGATCGGCACGGCCAGCATCGGCACGCCGTTGTAGACCGCCTCCATGGCGCTGCCGATGCCGCATTGGGTCACGAAAGCCCGGGTCTTCGGGTGGCCGAGGACGTCCACCTGCGGCAACCAGTCGACGATCTTGACGTTGGAGGGAATTTGGGCCACCCGAGCGGCGCTGAACCGCATCAGAACCTTCTGCCTCAGCCGGGAGAACGCGCTGACGAAGGCGTCGACGAACTGCTGCGGCACGGCGTCCGGGTCGAACGCCGTCATGCCCAAGCTGAAGAGCACGACGCCGTGCTCGCCTGAGCTCTGCATGAACCGCTCCAGCTCGTCGGACAGCGGCCGCGCCGGCCTGCAGAAGACGCAGCCAATCAGCGGCATGTGCGGCGGCAGCAGCGCCGGCTGCGACGTGAACACGCTGCCGTGTATCAGCACCGCCTGCATGCGGCGCGCCAGCTCAGCGTACGGAGGCAGGCGCGGCTGGTGGCGGCGCCGGTAGTGGTCGGCGATGCCGCCGCGCAGCGTCGCCAGCAGCCGGTCGGCGACCACCTGCGCGGCGTTGCGGAGCCGCTGGACGAACGTCATCACGGGCGGCAGGCCCGAGAAGGCGGTGGGCGTCACCGCCGGCAGGTTCAGCGCCTGGGTGGGCACGATGTCGGGCCCGGCGAAGCGCATGCCCCAGAAGCCGACCGTCGGCAGGCGGAGCGCCGCCGCCAGCAGCAGACCGCACTCGTTGCAGACGAAGTCGACGAGCGCCACGTCGAAGCGCCGCCGCCGCAGCCGCGCCAGCAGCCGCCGGTCGCCGAGCAGGTCGGCGCAGTGCGGGCCCAGCGTGGCGACGAACGCGGCGGGGAAGGTGGCGCGTCGCCACAGGTGGGCGCCGGGCACCAGGAAGCGGCCGGCCTCGTCCACGAGCCCGCCGGTGAGCGCTGAACCTTCCACGGTGCGGGTGAGGACCTCGACGGAGCTGTTGGCCGGCACGGGCGGCGAGCGGTCCGACAGCCAGCGCACCTGCGTCACATTGAAGCCGTGCTCGGCGGCCAGGCGCTCGCCGAGAGAGCGCAGCACGAGCTCATGACTGCCCGGGTACAGCGGGTGCAGGATCAGCAGCCGCGTGCCGGGCCCGGCTGCCGAGCTGACCAGCAGTGGCAGCAGCAGAGGCACCCGCAGCAGTAGCGGTAGCAGCAGGGACGGGCGCCGAGCCATGCTGCAGCCAGCTGGCGGTCTGCTCGGTCCTAGCGCTTACTCCAGCTCGGTACAGCAGATGCGGCGCCAGCAGCCGATGTAGCCCGGGAGTTTGCTTACTAAGCCTTTTTTGCACTTCTACAGCACACTTTTACGACACTTTTTACAACACAGTACACTTTTCCACGACACTTTTTACAACACATTACACTTTTCCACGACACTTTTCCAGGACGGCACGGCGTTGGCACGACGAGGCGCTGCTGGCGTGGCCTCCAGGGCCGCTACAGCGCTTATATCCATGGGCTGCACAGGTAAGCGTTCAAGGCTCCACAAAACCGACGTGCAGGGAACAATGCAGTCAATACGTCGAGGAGCGTAACAACAACCATACACCAAACCGCCAAACGGAATGCGCACAACAGCAGCAGCGAACGCCTAACCCGCTCAACCGAGCTGTCGGACTAGGCCGGTCAAGCGCTGCCCCGCCCCCCCCCCCCCCCCGCCCTCGTGCGTGACCTATCTGGACCTCATCGACCCAGCTGCGGCACGGGGCCGCCTGATCACGACGTCATCGCGTGTCACGATCACCGCCGCTGGCAGCCGGCCAAGCACGTTGAGCGGACAGTACGGCGGTAAAAAAAAAACAAACTTTTGGTTAGGGGCAGTCCATATAAAGCTATTCCCGCTTCTTGGCTTATTTCATGAAGAATGGTGAAAATTAAATGTCTGCATGCATATAATCCAGGAGGATACATCGCTTCAAGAAAAACAGACTCACCCATGTGGGCGTTGAAGTTTCCCGTATAAAAGCAAAAGGATAGCAAGAAGCCAACACTGCCTCTCCATGGTAACTGACCATATGGTTTAAATGGTCTGAGGACAGCAATCATTGATCTCTGTGTGCGTGCGTATGTGCGTACGTGCGTGCGTGCATGCGCGCGCGTGTGTGTGTACGTGTGTGTGTGTGAGCGGTTGCGTGCGTGCGTGCGTGTACTTCTGCTCTTAGGTGTGCGTCTGTGAATCATTCCGTGTGCCTGAATGAAAAATGCTACTCGGCCATTCGATTGCAACTTTGCAGAGATTCTTTCAGACCATGCCACATCATGTCTTCGCGATTTGTTCAAGACCCATGTGTGGCGGGGATATTGGAGATGATTTTGCGCCGAAGCCTGGTGAAAGGGCACTTGTTCTGCTATATTGGTGATTCGTGTGATTTCTGTGAGCATCCCGCGCACATCCTGCGCACGTGTCCCTGGAAGGCAGTGGTGGAAGCACTGCCTTCTGTACGTTCAGGATAAATGTGTGATGGACGCGTGGGACGCCTACGTGGAGGCGGCAATGTTACACAATAGCCACGCACGGCTACGCATTTATACAATATATATGTATATATATACATATATATATATATATATATATATATATATATATACGCAGACACGGGCACGCATTCGCATCGGTGCACGCGTGGGCCAAGCGTCCGGTCGTCTTTGTGACGTTCTCTCCGACCCGTCAGCTGAGTGGGGGCGTGGCGCCACGGGTTTGGCTGACGTTCTCTCCGACCCGTCAGCTGAGTGAGGGCGTGGCGCCACGGGATTGGCTGACGTTCCCTCCGACCCGTCAACTGAGTGGAGGCGTGGCGCCACGGGTTTGACTGACGTTCTCTCCGACCCGTCAGCTGAGTGAGGGCATGGCGCCACGGGTTTGGCTGACGTTCTCCCCTACAAATGGTTATATAATTTTCACAATATGAGATCGAACATAAAGCCTCATGTTCAGGAAAGTGTGTATTCAACATTTAAGGAACATAAAGCTCGTGGAGATAACTTTGTGATGGATATCTAATTTTCAAATTGTCTTGCCTCAGGCCCTTAAAAGTGAACGTTCCAAGACCACCGTCTGAAACTCGTTGTGGCAAGCATACCTGTTCACCGCTAGCTCCAAGCTGTAACTCAAGCAATACCCTTCCCATTACAAAGAGAAAGAGGTACACCAGGGCTGAAAATCGGCCTGCGACTCCTAGACCATCCGTGGATTTGACCGGGGCGGTACCTCTCAACCAGCAAAACTGCTTCTTAACTGCTTTGCTGTTCAAATATATGCTAGTAGTTATCACGAAAATTCAACAACCTCATCCACGAAAGTGAATGTCGCGGTGCATCTGCAAAGAGGAACGTTGTGATGTACGCCACACACTTCCGCAGATATGCTATTGCTGCTGTTCATTTGGGTTTTGTGACACAGTCAGCAGCTGGGGCTATAAGGCTTCACCTGCTCTTCACTCTGACACCAACGTCGGGCAGCGCAGGCGATCAACCCTCGTCCCTCTGGTTTCCTAGATGCGCAGCTTGGCCACTGCACTACCGGAACCCTCTCGCTGATCCGACCGCCAGGCTTCCATTATAATTGTCAGTGCACCTTTGAAAAGCGAAGGAGTGCAGAAGCATTTTTTGTTGGGTAGGAAGTTGAGCCCGCTTAACATTTTGACGGATGGCCGAGGAGCCACGGTTCCGTCTTCGACCGGGCGCGCTTCCTCCTTTGATAGAAGAAACATAATTGGTGTAGCTGCAGCTCTTTGCTCCCTAGACGAACGGTTTTACTAGAATGCATTACTGCATAGGTCTCGGAGCGTTTGCTGCGAAAAACCTAAAGACACCAAATGCTTTGAACCCTCGTAAATCTACCGTCCCTGATCAAATGCCAACCAAAATACTTAAATTAATAAGCATTCTGATACATGAGCCTCTCGCAGCATTTTAAAAAACTGTCCTCGGGACTTTGTAAAGATTCTAGGAAGAAGCAGGTGTCATTTTTGTCAAAAAGCTTACAACGATTCGTATTTGCTGCCATCGCTCCCACATTACGACTAACAAACTCTTATTAGACAGATAGACTGGATGTCGTCCGTGTCACAACACTCAGCTACAAACTCTGTATTGTATTGCATTGTATTGTATTAAATCTTCAATCCATCCATACAGCATAGCTGTTCAAAATTCGTGTCACAATGTACAAGGCATAAAACAAAATGTTACAAAGTAAAATAGTGTGGGACCGAAGCCCTCCTCACACATCATAGAAAGGAACCCCACGTCAGGACCGGTCTGTATTAGGATGCACCTCGTGTTACGGGTCCCATTCATCCCAAGGAGCCCGAACTCCGCTCAGGTGCCGGTCGGTTATCTCGGGAGTCAACCACACCGACGGCTGCCTTCGCCTGCCTTGGCCGCTGTGCGAGACTGCGGACTTGATATACAACTCTCAGTCCTGTTTGACGTCTTTCTTTCGCTCCTCTCCGACCGTGACGGTAGCGGCGGCTGGGGGACCTGTGCCCCTCAAGACGGACTCAAGCCTCTCCAGCTGCAGTGGCAAGGCATTCTGGTTTGCGCGTTTTCCGTGACGGTGCGTCGCCACTTTGCCAATCATCTTGTTGAAGAGGATGTCATGTATTTGCCATTCTTCGACAAGGACCACAGGTTCCGGTTGCCCGCAGGTGTCGGTCCTTTCACCCCTGTTGGCTTCAGCGTAACTTGACGGACTCGCTGACAACGTTACTAATAACATACTATCTTACGCCGATGGCACTTCCCTCTACGCCTCTCGTGCGCCAGACGATATTGGCATAGTATTACAGGGCCCTTCAGGGCGACCTGGATGCTACTGACGAGCACAGCAGACAGTGGACATGAAATGTAACACTGCTAAAGCGATGCAATAGACATTGAACCACAAAACACATTGCGCATAGACAAAGCTAAAATTTGCAGGTTGGCATATTCACCCTGGCAGCATATGTTTGGTGGTACATATTGCGTCAACCGTGCATGGAGCATGTTGTATCAGTGATACAATGTACCGACAATATGTAAGCTGTTCAGTGCATTAGCGAGGAACGTTATTCACATAGATAAGACAGCAGTAATAGCCTTATTCCTCGGAAAGAACCAGAAGAAGGGATATATAGTTGGGTTGATATTTCGGCGACGTGGCTTTGCCGAAACAATAGCAAAAGTATTTCAATAAAGGCATGTTGCTGAAATATCAGTCCAGCTATATTTCCATTCGCCTGGTTTTTCTCCGAGGAATGAGGTTTTTACTATTGTCTTATCTACCGACAAGATATCATTGACTGGCGTACTGCCAATGATTGACTGACATGATTGCGATGCCTTTTGTTCTCCAAAACAAAGTTAACAGTTGCATTACCTACGAAGACTTATGATTTTCACCTGAGCGAACGAAACCGAGGTGGCAGTAGTCGTAAACACTGATCAATAAACGGGGCAAACATGTGTCCTTGCGCAATCGTGAAGAATTACGGAATAGCACATATGAGCGCATTTTATCTGCATATCGCAGCACATTCAGCTTGTTTGCGATGAAACTTCCGCAACGTCAAAAGTAACCTAAGCACAACTTCCCCACATTACACAACTCACCCCGGAGCGGGGTAAGTTGTCTCATTTGAGAGTAGGCCACTTGGAAGTCAAGTATCAACAAATGAAGACATGCGTTCTGAAATTTATCGCTATATATAAGCTGAAAGCTACAGCTGTTTGCAGATATAAAAATCTTAGTCCTCACTAGTTATAGCACGAGAAAAGTGGAGTAAAAACTGACACAAATCTCCTTACACTCTCCGGGAGAGCGAGGAGAGTTGTGACAGATGCACCAGTAGGGACTAATTTTAAACAGCATCATCAAAACCGCGAATATAGCTCTAAGCCCACTCTACCCATAACGAAGCACACATATCGCAGCACACTCAGTCACATATACAAAGCCTACATAAAACCACATTTTGATGATTGTGACATCATGTCTGACGCGCACATTACTTACTGGGACGAAGAGCTAGAAACTAGAAAAAACACAAACAGCTGGACTTGAAAAAGCACAAAATCGAGCGGCGAATCTCGTTACAATAGCCTCACTCAGGACATCCGCTGATAAATTGAGGCACGTCTTGGTTAGTTAGCTACTTAGTTATTGTGATTGAGGGGCTCGTCAATTGCACT